TTGCTGATTTAGCTGCTAATTGCCTCTGTGCAATTAACTTCCAACGCTCATAATCACTGTGATATCTAAGGTACTTGTAAAACTGATGAATTTGTATGTATGATTTCTCTAAAGTGCAGAAATATTCCAAGTATCATTTTCCTGATGAAAAGCTGGAACAGAGACCATTATCTGTTAATAATGTTCTACATGTTAATTTTGGTAATGGTGTTATTATATTAAGCTTTTCTACAGATCATGGAGTAACAAGTCATCTTCCTTCCTTCAAGTCATATAGAACAATGAAGAAAATTATTGAAGGAAGGCACAGTACATTAAAGCAGTCAGTACCCAGTAGCCTACTGGTTTTGGTGGAGGGGAAAAAAAGAAGAAAAGAAGAACAAAATTTGTTCATGTTTAGCTCTTGTGGCTGCACAGTTAGATACACTCATTTAGTGCATTTAAATGGAAAATTAGTCTCTGCCTTCAGTCATCTAATCCAAAGTTGCCCTAGAAGTCGGTGATTGAGCCCAGCTGGTTTTAGTCTCACTGTCATGCTCTCTCTGGGCAGAAGCAGCACAGGAATAAAGCAGCACTCTTTGCTTTAGCAGGGTCCATTTCCACCTATACGCTTGTGTTGCCCTCTCATAGCAGGTTCTCAGTGTATTGGCTTTTTACCAAACACTGAACAAAATGAGTGCAGCTGGTGAGGACCAAGGCCTTCAACTTTCTGGGAGCAACCGAGGAAGGTAATGATACAAATATCTTTATATCACTTTTTAAATTACCTCCTTGCCTTTTTAATGTAATTCTCAAGTCATCCCTTAGGATTTGGTATTTATACCATAATATGGACTGTACAGCTGCATACGCTTACAGAAAATCTTTTGTTTTCCTCTTTATATGTAAGCTACCATAAAAGTTATGTGATGATCTTTCTATTGTCTCTCTTCATTACAGCCACAGCAATACATATGTGAGCACATATTTCCAAACAAGACTGTCAGACTGTAGCTTAAAATTTGGCATGAAGTGAAGTGCCTACATGTAGTTGTACCCCTAACAATGGACAAAATGTAACACTGTTCCTAAATTACTGATTTCTGTTAAATGGTGGAATAGAAGCACACTGAGCTAAAGGTCATGACATTTCAAGTTCCAAATTTCTGGATGGTAATGTTGGAGAAAAAGATTTAAATAAGCTACCTACTTCTCGTCAATAAAAGGAACTTAAATACATTCCTCTGTCAGTGGTAGTTAAAGTTGAATGGAAAATAATGAGAAGAAAAATTCTTTCATTTCATTCGTTCTCTTCAATTTATTTCTTTTCATTCAAATATAGACTTTTTCAATGTATTGCTTGATTGGTTTTGCTATTGGTCAAATAATAGCAGTTCTTGCTGTTACAAAGTACTAGCTCTTTGGCCCATAAATTATATTTCTTATCCACTACTACTCAAATAGTTTGATATGTGCCTCATGTCCACTGCTTTTACATTTTGAGAGTAAACTTAAGAAGGCCTTCATTTGGTAGAGCTGGGTAAATTGACCTATACAGATAGAAATGTGTGGACAAACCATGTTTCCTGAAAACAACAATATTTCACTTCAATACTTCCAGCTTTATACAGCTTCTGTGAACTCATCCCAGTCTTTGATCTTGAACCACTTGGTGATTTCAGTTGGAGGCAAACATCTTAAATACACTAAGACACTGAAGTTATGTGAAATGGCATTGGGTAGGGGAAGATGTAAGAGATTTCCTGCCAGGAGAGATAGCTATGCCATGAGCATAACTTGTGCTAAGCTCAGAAGAAAAGTGTTTGGGGAAAAGTGCTTAGAAATACCCTCCTCACAGGGTAATCTTCAGAGCTTGCTCTTTCTGAGAAACTAAATTACCTTGGAGATAGAAATCTGTAGGAAACCTAGCTTTAGTTTCCGTCTGCACAGACAAACTTGTTTCTAAGAACAACATTTTTACAGAAGAGGAATATGCCCAAAGGCAAACTGAAACCTGAACACAAGCCAAATATGGCAATATTCCTCTTCATTAAATTAGCTGATGCTGAGTGATTAGTGCTATTGTTCAGCTCAGCTGTTAACTCTTAGCTGATTTCCTAGCGCTTAATTCCCAGATAATTTCAAAGAGATTTATGCATGAACTGAGAGTTAGACATAGACTTAAATGTGGTACTGACACAAGCATTGTATAAGTGTATATTTAATGTAAAATATTGTGAATCCAGGCTTCAGCAACATCCTTAAGCATTCTGAAGTTGAAGGGATTACTCACATTCCTACAGATCCCCACAGCCCTGAGCACCATGTTGAATTATGATGTAGTAAAGGATCAGTAAGAATATTCTCTAGATTTGTGGAGTGGGTTGAACCACTGAATTCTGTCAGTGTTGAAAGAAGCCTCAATCAGTTAGTTATTTCTCATCTGCATCTGGCTTGGCAACCAGTCAAAAAGAACAACAGCACTCACTTCTTATTCATGTATTATGCACAATTTTGCTTTGAATACCTTGTTTATTCTAACACAAAGGCTGAATTTTAATTTCATTTTTGGTACTACATCAGTGGCTAAATGTGAGAATTGAGGGTACCTCACAGTTATTGAGCCACAGATCAATAGACAAAAAGTTTTTAAATGGCTTTGAAATGTCTGCATTGATAAAACTATATCCATTATTCTTCTTTCTGCTACTGGGCAGAAATAATAAATATTTTAAGGACCTCAAAATAGATGAAAGTAGTAATATTGACTAAGCAGAAACTGTTTGCCAGGAGATTAGGCCTTAGTTGGAAGGATTTAAATATGCTTGGCATGTCAAAGCAATGTGACAAGTCGGTGTTTTCATAATGTTCTGCGTCTACCTCATAACTTGTTGTGAAAGGATGATGGCTGTTGCCAGCTTGCTTTGTTCTTAATAATATTTTTAAAGATAAGAAAGTGAAATGGCTCCATTTCAGGAATTAAGTCATTTCCTTGTGCCAAAATACTGACAAGCAGTCTTGGTGCGGGAAGATAAATTAGAGTTCTGACTCCTGCATCACAAAAAAGAAATCGACATTGCTTGAAAGGAGCCTTGCTGTTAGAGCTGAAGTTACTTCTTTTAACGTTGCAGATGTGAATGTCAAGTGAGTTTTCTATGTGAATTTTTGTAATATGAAATGGAACAGACTGTTAAACTCAGACAATTTTAAAAGTCAAGGATAATTTTAGGGAAGGGGAAGTCAGAAGAATCAGCAAGTGGAACACACAAATCTCAGTCAAATTATAGCATCAGCTGTAGAGCACTATTTGCTGCCCACATCTAATGGTGTATTTGCTTTGTTGTCATTGTCACTGTTACTGATTCTTTCAGCTCCCTCAAAACTGCACTTGCAATGCCTTCCTCTCCCTTCATGCTGACAGTACTTAAACCCCTAGTGAATAGTTCTTCATGGACCTCCATTCTAATACAAAAAGTCCTCTTTCCTATGGGTACAAAATGGAAAAATTCCCACTCGGACACTTTTCCAGCACAGAAACAGCAGTAGACTCCTCCCAGTACACCTGACAGTAAGTATGAAATGGATGATGTCCGTCTGGGGCTTCCTCTGCTCTTCTTTCTTTGCCTGTACTTCTGCTTGGCTGCCTGAGTACATTCCATTCATCTGGGATGGGGAGCTCTTTGAGCAATGTTTATTTTGAAACTCCTGTGGACACTGCAATGCTTGATCTGTGATTGATGCTTCCAAGCTGCGGGGTGAGGCTGTATTGACCTGCCTTACCTTATGGATAATACTGCTGCCTCATGAAGGAAGTGGCAATAAAGGTCACAACTGAGATAAGAAGTAAAACTATTTATTACAGATGACTCAGGCAAATAAGAAAACCAGCTGTCAGCACTTCAGAAAAGAAGTCACTGCAAACCTTCACCTCCTCACCTTACAAGGATTCTTCCATCACCTGTTACAGGCCTGCCTCTTTGCATCAATTTGCACACCCTGGTCTGTTTCAGCTAAGAGTGGTTCTTCAAACTGAACATGCTCCTGAGCAGACATGGCTGAGACCATGGAGTTCATTTATATACAAAAATGCATGTTGGAAATTGGGCAGCGTAGTGCTTTGTTTTTCCAGTTTAAACACAGGTACAACCGACAGCAAAGGAGAAAGCAGTATTGTTGGAAAATCATACATTAAATGGTTCTTTAGTGAAAAAGTGCTATAATTCCTACCATAGCTTAGGGGAAGAAAAAAAACAATAGAAGCATATAAATATATCCTATATACACACAGTACAACACAGATGTCTTGTAAGCAGGGATTAGTAGCAGGACACTGTTAGAGAAACAGCACATATTTTCCCTTGGGAAACTTAAACCCCCACAAATGTAGTCCATTCAAGACCACAGAGAAACAATGTGCTGCTTATGCTCATTTCCTTTCCTTCTTGCTGAGACTGACATTTTACAAACCAGGCTCCTGTGTTTTTTAAACACACTCTGTTTAAAAACTACAAAGTCCTTGGATCAGCATCCTTTTGTCCATTAAAAAAAAAAAACAAAACCTAAATGCATTCCTCTCCACCTTTATATTGTTATATTTCCCTTCATTAAACTGGACAACATGAAGTTATTTTCACTCTTCACCGCAGGACAATAATTGATGGAGTAGTTTTAGTAGAAAAACACAAGAGATTCATCTTAAACTAGTTTAATTTAAGCAGTTCCATGACAACAGCTGGAGACATAGCTTCTGGGAAATGCAGATGCAAAGTCAGACTGGAATATAAGATTTAGTGACACCAATGAGTTGCAGCTGCTGCATACTACTACATCTAGCAACATCTTTTCAGATCAGAGTCAGACTGACCCCTAAGATAAGTAGTCATCCATTTGCTTTATGGCAAACTGCAACTGGACATTAGGTGGCAACTGAATTCTTCACCCCTCAACTCACATTTTCCTATTTGTCATTTTAACAGTGATTCCTGTGCTGGTCAGGTGCCCTTTCCCCTCCCATACACTACCTGTGATTGCCAGCTGAGTAACAAAGTAGGTCATTCGAGATTTCCGCTTCCTCCTCCAGGTAGAGAAGAGCACAATGGCATTTCCAGAAATTGTGACAATAAAGAGAATCCAAAGAGTCACCAGCTGCTCTGTCTGCAATGGAAAGAAGGGAAAAAAGCATATTGATGGGTGGATGGACAGTCACTTATCCTCAGACAAATGAGATGAGAATGGAAAATAGGAGTGAAATTTGAGTTTTGCCAATTGATTGAAACTATTTAGTCAAAAAGACATTCTTGGTTTTTTTCAGAAAATACTTAACATGCATCACTGCTAGTGATGTTCTTTCCAGTTTGGTTTGCAGGGGCTGTATATTACTCCTCTCTTCACAAAACCACTAGCAGTGTCTGTATTCTGCACTTAGTGCTAAAATGAGAGGCAGCTCTCAGCTTTCTTGTGCTGCTCCAGCAAGCTGTGAAATAACCAGCTGCCTCACTTCATAAGGAATGTTGATAGACGGGCTCCTTTGGAGAAATGGAGGAAATAAATACTTCTCTCTTCCCCAGCTTCAGTGAGTCTGGGTCATTCACAAGCCCTAATGAAATTCAGACATCCACTCCATGATCTAGACGTGCACCAAGACTGAAAAAGAAGCATGACCCACTAAAGAAAAGTATACTTGTGTAGCGACTGAAACGTGATGACAAAACGTCCCCTAGTGGTGTGTGTACAAAGAAAACAAGGTAAGAAAGCTGTTCGTGCTCTCAAACATCGGGATGCTCTGGCTGCAGGATCAACACCGTATGTGTGTGTCCACGTTTGGTTGTTTGGTGAGTCCAATCTTTATATCCTAGCAACTGTTTTAGGTTTTGTCAGTGCAGTAGTTTGGGATCTTTCCATTCAAAACAGCAAATCCACAACATGGAAGTTAGGGGAAGATGGAGGAGGCAGGTGAGGGCTGCAGCTGAGGAGGGGTGCCAGTGCCCTACAGACGTGGCCTCAGCAGGCTGGGGGAAAGATGCTGTCAGTAATACCCCGCCTACATGATTAGGCTGATAGAAGAGCAAAAACCAGGGAGAACACTCATTAAAGGCATTTGTAAGCCACTACGGTGAGCAGAAACCAGAGCTCCTTCTGCTTTCAAAGAAAATAGTTCACTATGAGAGTGGGGAGGGAAGGTGCAATGAAATGAATGCAGCAGGGACATGGAGCTTCCTGCTTTATAATTAGCCTTAGTGCCTTCTTGGCACTTAGCCCCACTCCTGGCCAGCAGTCATTGTCCCTCCTTGTCCCTCCCATTGCCCCCCAGAGCAGCTTCTCCTGGGAACCAGCCTCAGCTTTGCTCCAGGTGGGGACCCACACTACCTCGTGGATCACAGGGTCACGCAGGGAAAGCAAGACCTGATGAGGGGCAATTTGATGTTGCACTCTGTGCCTGAGCCTAGAGATAGTTTAAGCAAACAATGAAGGCTGTGTAGAGAGGATTTCACTTTTCCCAGCATGATGATTTTCACCAACATAATGTCATCTCACCTAACTTTGAAGTTCCAAAGAGACACAACTGTTCTAAATTGTCTTAGTATTGTCTAGGTAATAGCAGTGTCTCAGAGATGAGTCACCACTCATCTCACCTACCTTGGGATGATTTGTCTCCACTGAGTATAGAGTGACCTAGATGAGACAACCTGTGTGGGCTAGATACTTGGCCTTTAGATTAAAAAAAAAAAAAATTATCTTTTTGTGTTACCTGCAAATCTCTTTAATTTATTGGAAACAAATTTCCTTAAAAATGTGTGGCAGAAATATGGTGAAACTGTTTTTATGGGGATGCTTTTCTTAGCACAGGAATTGGAAGGAAATATCTTTTTGGAAGACAATAAAATCATAAGATAAGATTTCACATCACTTTTGTCCTTGAAATCAATGATTTCTCCTTGGGGTTTGTTTAGGCTTTTCCATTTCAGAAAACATATTTCTCACATGAAGAAAACTAAGGGACTAGACTTGTTCCCGTTTTCTTTGGTATAAAATCAGAAGAGCATTTTCTTAAAAGGAATTATATTCCTGTATTAAACTGATATTGATAGGAACAGAAGAAAGATCTGACACTCAAACCTTCTTATGTTTCCCACAGAAGAAATAGCTATGGAGCATCAGAAGCTGCGTTAGAAGGATAAGAGCACAGTACAAATGGTCAGATTAAATCCCTTCTGCCAATTTAAAAGCAATGCCTAACAATTAAGCAATGTTAGACTCCAGACATTAAACCAGACTGCAAAGATAGCTTAAAAATGCAAACACTGAAAATAGAGGTAACTCTGGAAGGGCCATAGACAAAGAAATAAAGCCAAAATTTCTATTAATCTATTTGTGGGAGCTGACATTCTGACTAAAATGAAAAAGATCTCATTCCTGCGGATTAAGGAGTTGTAACAATAGGAAACTTAAATCACTGCAGCCTCTCTCAGTCTTTGTTAACTTGCAGAATGAAAACTTCCATGGTTAATAATGGGATGCCCACTGTGATAAAGGCCTTTGCAGAAGCTAGGATTGGAATTCAAAATTATCTTCATGAATTGGAAACATATACTGGGAAAAAAAGCAACATGCTGTCCAACAAGGAGAAGTGCAGGGCTGCAGTGTAGTGAGTGTAATCTCTCTTGGTTGGACCAGCCTTCCAAACATCAACCCTCACACGCATCACAAGTGCAAAGTGCCCCAGAACATCATGGAATCACCCTACCATGGGAGCAACAGCCACCACCACTCTGGGATCAACACCAGGCTCATGTGCCTCTGCTCTGGTCTTCCCACTGGGCCATGCCCACTCCTGGGCACAGTGCTTCAAGAGAGACACACAAAAGACTTGACATAAAGGATGTAGTCAGGCAAAACGACTGAATGAATCAAGTTGCTAAATCCAGGAAAAGCCAACTGCAGGAAAAGATGAACATAGCCTTGAGGACATAAAAAGACTAATGTAAAAAAGTAAAGCACTAATCTCTTCTTTAGATCCACTGTGGACTGGACAAAAAATCAAAACTACAGTACAGAATTCAGGATGAAAATTTAAAAAGAAAAAGAAGGCTTTAAAATATATCATAGATAGAGAGATTGATTGAGCCAGTGAAGCTGTCTGTGAAGACTTTAAAAATAGTTATTAGATTAGAGAGATAGCTGATGGATTTTTGAATCTCACTCCAGCTGAACTTTCTTTAGTTTTATTCATCATCTTCAGATTGTTTTGACATAGAAGTGTTTAGTTTCATGTCTTGTTCATTCATCAAACAAAAATCCTTTCTTAATAACAGTCCTGGACAAGGTAATTTACAAAAAACATGCCTCAATAATATGTTGTGCAAACATCAGAAGCATTCTGATAAAAAGGAAGATAATAATATCTCCCAAACCTCTTTTGACAAGGGCTTCTTTTGAAATGGGCATTAATAACTACAGTAGATGAGAATGCCATGAGAGACTAGTGTCATAGAGCATTTATTTCAGGTTAGAAAAGCTAGAGATGCTGTTGACACTATTAAAGTCACCAACAAATGAAAGTCAAGAGGATTTCCTTGGTTTGACTCGAGCCATTGCACATATTGCTGTTCCACAAGGCTGCTGTGTTTGCAGCATGGAAGTGCTCAACATCCAGAGAGCATATTCAGGTTTTGCTATGTTGCTCCAAGATTAAAGCCATGTTTAGTCAATGAAGAAAATGCCTCTTCATGGGTGAAATGGAAGCCAGAAAACCTGTCTGAAGACTGTGTGCATTTTCGTTTGGCTGTAAAATGGCTTATAACTTTCTTTCTCTAATTAAATTTCTGAATCCAGAGGCTGGAATAAGTCTAACAAGAGGTGTATTCTGCTTTATATTTGAGGCAGAGATCACTCCTGCAAACCCCTTTGATCAAGACCATATTTAAATCCTTTTGGAGATGTTGGGTGGCATTTTGGTACCACAATGCCATCCCTCCTTCCAGTTCTCCCCAGCCAACTTCCTTGCTCTGTCTTCCCTCAGGATTTGTATCCCTCTTGCTGGGGAGCTCCAGCTGTGACTGTGGAATGGTGCCCTGATAGCCCAGTCCAATGGAGGGGCTGTTCCTCGTGTCTTGAGGTGCAAAAGCCTTTGTCTGATATTACAGAAGTTGCCCAATAGAAAGAGAGGTTCAACTAGCAATGGGCAAAGATTATTTGTACTTGAACAGAGACCCAATCTAAAACATTTTAACTGCTGAGGCTGCTCTGGAAAAATTTGGTTTCAGGTAAGAAATGAGCAAGTAGAAAAAAAGAGGGAGAGATACTCCATGCCTGGAGTGGCTGACTGGCCTCTTAATATGAGCACTGCAGGCCTGCGGTAACTTCTTGGCACCTTTCTGCACCATCTTCTTGGTCTCCTGGGTGAAGAAGAGGAATGATCCCTCATATCACAAGCCAGTAGCAGCTTAAGTCTCTGAACAGCTTTTTCTTGACAGTTGATAAACTCTGGGAATACACAAATGATCTTGCCTTTGGTATATTTTAAAAATTATGGGGTTAGCGTAGCAGCAATTGAGATTGTAAAGAGAGCTGTAATCATAAAGCAAGCCAAGCAATTTTGCAAGAGTGCTCTTAACACATAAGAAGAATATATAAATCCCCTTGTTAAATTGGGTAACTGTCATGCTCTTGGTCAAGTTCACCACTAGTAGATTGTATTGCACTTTCTTGAAGGAGGGAAAAGAAGAGAAAAATCTTTTTTCATTCTCTAAGATAATCACATTAATTGCAGACCATGCAGAAAAATGGAGCAGTCTAGATTAGCAATTTTTTTTTATCCTACTGTAGAAGATTTGGAATCTTGAACATTGAAAACTGAAAATGTTCAGGATGAATTTGCTATTTTAACATCCCCCATTTAGGATGGAAACTTAAAACCCTTAAAAAACCCAAAAAAACCCCAAAAATAAACCAAAGACCAAAAAAACCCCCCAAAACCCAAGAGAATTATTTTTCCAGAGGCAGACAGGTGCCATGCAGCTTGACTGATTTCTGTCAGGGATTTATAATCAGCTTATCTCTAAGGCAAATTGCGCTTTGGACTGCTACACTGAAGGGAATAAAAGAAATACACCCATTAAGCCAATTAGGAAGTTTTAAAGGTACTGACTAAACCT